AATTTTGAGCTCGTTGTGGCGAAAACGCCTTGCGTACTGTAGAGCCTCAAACAGTAGTTGCAAATGTATACTGCTGCTTTAAGCAAGGAAAGGGCAACACGGAGTGAGGAGGGAGGAGGCAGAAATCGAAAGGGAGTGATAACGTGGATGAAAAGGGACGAAGAAAAATGGGGGAACAGAAGGGGGTTGCGTGGGAATAGGAAAGGGATAGAACATAACTACAAAATCAAGGGTGCCCAGGCACTTCTAGCGCGTTGCATGGCTAAACTCACCTGGCACTTGTGCACTCAGGTGCTCGGCAAAAAACAATGCCAGAACCCGCATCCAGACCTGGTAGGGTCGGTGCCCGATCGAGTCGGGACTTGGTAGGAAAATGTCCAATATAGCCTGGCACCTGTGGCCGCAGAACCAACCTGGCACTTCAGCAACCAATGTCCTCAAAGCAAACTTCTATAGAAGCTCAGCAGCGAGCAGCTCAGCCTCCACCAGATAAGACTCCCAGCAGCAACAACCCACCTGGCACTCCCAGCAACAACAACCCACCTGGCACTCCCAGCAACAACAACCCACCTGGCACTCCCAGCAGCAACAACCCACCTGGCACTCCCAGCAACAACAACCCACCTGGCACTCCCAGCAACAACAACCCACCTGGCACTCCCAGCAGCAACCCACCTCACGTCAACCAAGGATGTGCTCGAGGTGTTCTTCAGCTCAGCAGTGAGCGGTTCAGCCTCCACCAGATAAGCCTCCCAACAATCTACGTGACACTCCCAGCTTCAACAACCCACCTGGCATGTCAACCACGGATGTGCTCGAGGCGTATCTCTTCTTCAGCTCAGCAGTGAGCAGCTCAGCCTCCACCAGATAAGCCTCGACTCCAGTCACCCGAGTCACCTTCTTGTTGCCCTGCCGCCCCCGCACAAACATCTGCACTGGCTTTTTCTCCCCCTTCCGCTCCACCCTCCTCCCCCTCCCTCTCTCCACCCTGTGTCGTGCTTGCATATGCAGCAGTAGCATGCGCCTTACCTCCCACTTTATGGCATTCTGTTTTTAAGTAGACTCAAAACTAGGCTGTTTTGAGTCGATTAAAAATTAGGCATTTGCAGCAGCAGCATGGGCCTTACCTCCCACTTCTGGCATTTTGGTTTTGAGTCGAATCAATAATAGGCTGTTTCTTAGTTGACTCAGAAACAAGCATTTGCAGCAGTAGCATGGGCCTTACCTTCCACTTCTGGCATTTGTTGCTTATGGAAGAAAGAGGGAGCAGACGCCAAAAGGCATGTGGGTCGAGCCCCACTGCTTCAAAAACAGGAGACACATTATGAAACGGTTTAAACAACTCTATTATTGTCACCATGGTTGTGTTAGTGCTGGTCTCAAACGCTATTCCTTGCGTTTCAAAGGAGCTACCTTGAGGTGCAGTTGTGGGGGCTTGGGCGGATTTGCTTGTCTTATGTGGCTAGAATCGATGAGGGTCTGATGGCGGTGCGTGCCTCCTTGCCACTTATCTAGCAAGGAAAATGGCATAGGGAACATAGCAGGCGGAGTATAGCAAAGGGAAGGGAGCATAGCATAGGGAACATAGCAGGCGGAGTATAGCAAAGGGAAGGGAGCATAGCATAGGGAACATAGCAGGCGGAGTATAGCAAAGGGAAGGGAGCATAGCATAGGGAACATAGCAGGCGGAGTATAGCAAAGGGAAGGGAGCATAGCATAGGGAACATAGCAGGCGGAGTATAGCAAAGGGAAGGGAGCATAGCATAGGGAACATAGCAGGCGGAGTATAGCAAAGGGAAGGGAGCATAGCATAGGGAACATAGCAGGCGGAGTATAGCAAAGGGAAGGGAGCATAGCATAGGGAACATAGCAGGCGGAGTATAGCAAAGGGAAGGGAGCATAGCATAGGGAACATAGCAGGCGGAGTATAGCAAAGGGAAGGGAGCATAGCATAGGGAACATAGCAGGCGGAGTATAGCAAAGGGAAGGGAGCATAGCATAGGGCATGGCAGAGGGAACATAGCAAGGGGAGCATAGCCGAGGGAACATAGCAGGGGGAACATAGCAGGAGCAGAGCGAGAAGGGAGAGGGGGAAGCGGAGGAGGGGAGGGTGGGGGGGAAGAGTGGAACAGTCCGTGTGAGAATCTGTGTGGTTACATGGGTGTGTGGTTACCAGCGGGGTAGATCTCGGTGCCGCGGCCGTCTCAGTCGAAGAGCATAGGCAGCCCGCACACCAGCACGCGATTCACCAGCCTCGTCACCGCCACGTCACCTCCACGTCACCGCAACGTCAGTCTGAACCAGGCGAACAAGCCAATCGGAGTCCCTTCCTTGAAAAGTAATCTTGGGAAATTCGAAAAGACTAAACCACAAAGGACAGTGGGAGTGAGGAGAGCGCAAGCACCTCTAGCATCATAGCGCATTAGAGGGCATTAGAGGGCATGAGTGCGCATCAGAGCGCATTAGAGGGCATCAGAGTGTTTCAGGACGAGGTGGTTAAAACGAATGGCGGGGATTTAATACGCGGGTTATCAGGTGGTTGCGAATGCGTGGGCCTACGTGGAGGTAAACCGCGAAGGCAATACGAGTTTCAAGCGGGAGACACTAAGGAGCACCTTGGGCGGCAACACCTTTCAGACGTCTCAAAAACTACTAAGGAGTACCTTGGGCGGTTAAAACCAGGGTCATATGTACCAATAGGGAGATCAACTGCAAAACACTCGAAGGGCAAGGTTACCATGTTTCATTTTCGTGGGTTGGAGTGGTTGGGTTGAAACTGTCAAACATTATATGTTTATATGATTGTAGGCTGTAGTGGGTTACACCTTAGGGGGTACACTAGATTAGGGTTTCCTACTTGTATCCAACTTTGTGCTAGTACAGTCATTCCTCGTTCAGTTCTTCTGACATGGTTTCAGAGCAGGTCCTTCGCTAGGACCGTTCTTAGGGCCCACCGCTACCTACCTACCTACCTACCGTGCGCCCTCGTGCGCCTACGCGCCCTAGTGCGCCTCCTACCTACCGCGCGCGCGCAGCCCGCCAGCCACTCGCGCGCGGCTCGATTTTTTTTTTTTTTTTTTTTTACCGCGCGCGACCCGCTAGCCGCCCGCGCGTGGCCGATTTCTTGAGCGCGCGACCAGCTAGCCGCCCGCGCGCCGCTCGCACCGCTAAAGCGCAGCCCGCCACGGCCCCGCCGGCCCGCACATTGCCGCCCGCGCGTAACCGCCTGTGCGCCGCTGCAGCTGCCGCCCGCTCGTCGCCCGCTGCTGCTGCCGCTACCACGGTCCCGCCGCTGCAGCTACAGCCTGCGCGTCGCCCGCAGCCCCTCCCGCTCGTGCGCCGCTGCCGCTGCCGCCCGTGCGCTGCTGTCGCGCCTGCTGCCACTGCTGCCCGTGCGCCTCTACTGCGCCTGCTACCGCTGCCGCTGCTGCACTCGCTCCCGCTGCAGCCGCCGCTACTGCGCCCGCTGCCGCTGCCGCTGCCGCCCGTGCGCCTCAGCTGCTGCCGCCCGTGTGCTGCCGCTGCCGCTGCCGCCCGTGCGCCTAAGCCGCTGCCGCTCGTGCGCCGCTGCTGCTGCCGCCCGTGCACTACCCCTCCTTCGCCGCTGCTGCCTCGACCCTGCCGCTACCGCCCGTGCATTTTTTTTTTAGTGGCCCCGCCGGCCCCGTTGACACCGCCCACAGCTTCCCTGCGGCCTCATTCCTACTGTTTCTACCGCTACTGCTACTGCCGCTATGGCTACTCCTACTGTACTTACTTTCGATGCTGAGGGCCGTCCAGTGAAGTTCGAAACCTGGCTCGATGACCTCCACCTCTTCCTACAGCTCACTGCTAAGGAGGACATTTCACTGTACGATCACGCCCTAGGCAACGCTACTGCCCCTCCTACCACTGCTGACAGCACTCAGCGCTCACAGTGGCAGACTCGTGACGCCCACGCTCGTTTCGCTATTCGTAACTCCCTACCGATCGACGAACGCGAGCACTTTGGCCAGCACAAAACTGCTAAGGACCTATACACTGCTGTAGTCGCTCGCTACTCCTCACCCGCTTCTGCCACACTAGGCCGCCTCACCCTCCCCTACCTGTTCCCCGACCTGGCCTCCTTTCAGACAGTTGCTGACCTCATCACCCACCTTAAGACTAGTGAGGCCCGCTTTCGCGCTGCTATGCCTGACGAGTTCCTTACTAGCAACCCCCCCCCGCTCTGGATCACTCTCTACCACATAGTCACCCGCCTCCCCGACTCCCTGCGCACAGTCAGGGACCACTTCCTCTCTCGCTCCCCCACTGAACTCACCATTGCCCTCCTCGAGAAGGAACTGCTTGCAGCTGAGGCGAGCATCGTCGCTGTAGGCACCTCTCGTGGTGACCCCCGCACCCCGTTCTTTGAGGGGTGTTCCCCTTCCCCTCTCCTCCCCTCTGTCGCCTCTGCTGCTGCTGTCGACCTCCTTGGTGCTGAGAAGGTCGGGACCGCGTCTGCTTCGAGCGGGCGCCGCAAGAGCAAAGGGGGCAAGGGTGGAGGTGGCGGCGGAGGAGGTGGGGGTGGAGGCGGTGGGAGTGGAGGAGCGGCTGGGGAGGCTAGTGGCGGCAGTGGGGGTGGTGACAGCAGCGGCGGGAGTGGCGGCAGGGGTGGAGGCGGCAGCGGAGGCGGAGGTGGTCGTGGCAGCGGCAGGGGTGGAGGTGGCCGAGGCGGTGGCGGCGGCGTTGGTGGTCGTGGAGGCGCTGGCGGTGGCCAGAGTCAGCAGCCCGCCCCGTCGCTTCAGGCCGCCCGTGAGTGGTATGCGCAGCGTGGCTTTACCTGCACGTACGTCATTCGCACTGGTGACCGCACTGGCCAGCAGTGTGGGAGGCAGCACCCCACGCAGCGCTGTTTCGCGCGCCTTACCGACGCGTGGCGTGCCCAGTTTCCTGATGCCACTGAGCTGCCCCGCTGGGCTGATCTGGAGAAGAAGGGAGTTGATATCTGGGCTTTAGACTTTGATGCTATTCTCACTGCCATGTATGCGATGTTTACTAGTGGAGAGGGTGCTCAGTACTTGCGTGTTCCGCCCGACCCGGGCATTCAGACCAGTCCGGCTGCCGCTCTAGGTGCTAGTGAGTCTGCTGCCCCAGGTCCTGGTGAGGCTGCTGCTCTAGGTGCTAGTGAGTCCGTGCCCGCTGGTACTAAGTCGACTGCAGCACTGCACACCTTCACACTGGACTCAAGTGCTTCTCGCTGTTTCTTTCGTGACCGCACTGTCCTTGAGCCACTCGCTCGGCCAGTTGCTGTCTCCCTCGCTGACCCCTCTGGGGGTCCGGTCGTTGCGACCTCCTCCACTGTCCTTCCTTATCCTGCGGTCCCGTCAGGCACACTGTCAGGTCTCTACCTCCCCTCGTTCTCTACGAACTTGGTGGCAGGTCGTGCGCTCCAGGACGGGGGTGTTCACCAGTTCACCCCTGCTTACGAGCGCGTGACACACTGCACGTGTGCTCGGACGGGCCGTCATCTGGCTACCTTCACTCGGCAGCCGGGGTCGGACCTGTACACACTGACCACTGCGTCCCCTCAGGTAGCTGCGTCCGCGTCTGCGTCTGCGTCAGGTCAGCTGTCCGCCCCCTGCTCGTGTCGCTCTCTGGCGCATGAGACTGTCCTCTGGCACCACCGCCTTGGTCACCCGTCTGTGCAGCGCCTTCGGGCCATGCACAAACGGGACCTTGTTGCTGGTCTTCCCAGGGTTCTCCCTCCCCTCCCACCCTCGCCTGCTCCTCCCTGTCTTCCCTGTGTCGAGGGGCGGCAGCGCGCCGCTCCTCACTCCTCCTCCTTCCCCCCGACGACTGCTCCCTTACAGACGCTCCACATGGACGTGTGGGGCCCAGCCCGCGTCCGTGGTCAGGGTCAGGAGAGGTACTTCCTGATTGTTGTTGACGACTTCTCGCGCTACACCACGGTCTTCCCCTTGCGCACCAAGGGTGACGTCCCTGATGTCTTGATCCCTTGGATCCGCAGATCTCGTCTCCAGCTCAGTGAGCGTTTCCGCTCCGACTTCCCTGTCCTGCGTCTGCACTCTGACAGAGGTGGGGAGTTTTCCTCTGGCCTCTTGGAGGCCTTCTGTCAGCAGGAGGGCATTGAGCAGTCGTTCACGCTTCCGGCCTCTCCACAGCAGAATGGGGTTGCTGAGCGCCGCATTGGCTTGGTCATGGAGGTCGCTCGTACCTCCTTGGTTCATGCGGCTGCCCCCCACTTTCTGTGGCCGTTTGCAGTCCGATACACTGCGCATCAGCTCAACCTCTGGCCCCGTGTCTCCTTACCGGAGACTTCTCCGACACTGCGTTGGACGGGAGAGGCTGGCGATGCGTCGCGTTTTCGGGTCTGGGGATCTCGAGCTTTTGTTCGCGATACGTCCGCGGACAAGCTCTCCCGTCGAGCTGTCCCCTGTGTCTTCCTTGGCTTTGTCCCGGACGCGCCTGGTTGGCAGTTCTACCACGCCACCTCGCGTCGTGTCCTGGCCTCTCAGGACGTCACTTTTGACGAGTCCGTCCCCTACTACCGCCTCTTCCCCTACCGCACTGCCCCGCTCCCCCCCCCCGCCTCTCTTCCTCGCTCCAGGTGCTGAGGTACCAGACCCCCTCCCCCCTCAGGGTGCCGCTCCCTCAGGTGTGTCTCAGGTAGACCCGGTTGAGCCTGTCGAGGTAGCTGTTGACTCTCGTCCTGCTGGGGGTGCTGAGCCTGACCGTGAGGAGTCTGGGGGTGCTGAGCCTGGGGGTGCGGAGCCTGGGGGTGCGGAGTCTGGAGGTGCTGAGCCTGGAGGTGCTGCGTCTGGGGGTGCTGCGTCTGGGGGTGCTGAGCCTGGGGGTGCTGAGCCTGACCGTGCTGAGTCTGGGGGTGCTGAGCCTGGGGGTGCGGAGCCTGGAGGTGCGGAGTCTGGAGGTGCTGAGCCTGGGGGTGCTGCGTCTGGGGGTGCTGTGTCTGGAGGTGCTGAGCCTGAGCGTGCTACACCTGGAGGAGCCCTCTCCTTCCAGCATCTGCAGGAGAGGTACCTACAGTACTGCCGCCTCCGGAGAGGTGCTGCTGGAGCTCGTACCAGTACTTCCCCTCCTACCCAGGAGCTCCCCCCCATTCAGCAGATCCGAGAGTGGTACGCGCGGCGCTGCAGTCTTCGGAGTGGTGCTCCTGGTGCTGCAGACCCTGGGGGTGGCGCTGCTACTGGTACTGAGGACCTGCGCGGTGGCGCTACTGCTGCTGTTGAGGACCCGGGCGTTGGAGCTGCTGCTAGTGCTGAGGACCTGGGCGGTGGCGCTGCTGCTGGTGCTGAGGACCCGGACGTTGGAGCTACTGCTGGTGCTGAGGACCCTGCTGCTGGTGTCTCTGCTGGTTCTGGAGACGCTGCGCGGCCGCGACCGTACTTCGTACCGCTCCTTCAGCAGGTTCTTGGTCAGGCTCCTTCTCCTTGTCCTCCTCCCTCCGTAGAGTGTCCTCCGCCTGTCCAGCCGCAGTCACAGTTACCACCTGCCTCGCCTCTCCCTGCTCCCTCTCCTTACACTGGTCCCACGGGAGGTCTTACAGAGCGTCGTGAGCCTGAGTCTCGTCCTGCGTCGCCTGTTCGTACTGCTCGCACTGGTCGTCATGTCCCACGTGAGCGTCCTCCTCCTGTCCCTGGCACTCACTACATGACTCTGCGTCCCTCCACTGCTCCTCAGCGTGTCCCGCTACCGTCTCCTCCTGCTTCCTCTCTTGCTGCTCTTCCTGACCTGGAGTCTGACTCCCGTCGTGCTGCCAGTCCCACTGTCACGCGTCTCCTCGCTACTGTTGTCACTGACCCTACCTTTGAGTCCTCTGCTGCGTCTGCGCTGGTCGCTGAGTTGGTTGACTTTGCTGCCCGGTGTCGTCTAGACTACGCTGCTAGCCTTGTCGCTGAGTCTGAGTCTGAGTCTGTCTGTCCTCCGTCCGTCGGGGGTGAGTGTGCTCTTGGCACGGACGTCCTTGAGGACAGACAGGAGGAGTTCCAGTGCCTTGCTGCTGTTTTGCCCCGTCTCGTGTCCTTACTAGTTGCCCCTGAGGGAGACCCGGATGCTCCTGACATCCCGACCCCGCGCTCTTACGCTGAGGCGATGGCGGGTCCCTACTCCTCTCAGTGGCAGACAGCCATGGACGCAGAGATGGCTTCCTGGAAGTCCACAGGCACCTACGTCGACGAGGTTCCCCCTCCTGGGGCGAACATCGTCAGTGGCATGTGGATTTTCAGGGTGAAGCGGCCGCCAGGTTCTCCTCCTGTCTTCAAGGCGCGCTACGTTGCTCGAGGCTTCAGCCAGCGAGAGGGAGTAGACTTCTTCCAGACCTTCTCCCCCACCCCGAAGATGACCACCCTTCGGGTGCTGCTGCACATAGCCGCTCAGCGCGACTACGAGCTTCACTCACTTGACTTCAGCACTGCTTTCTTACAGGGCAGCCTGCACGAGGAGATCTGGCTGCGTCGCCCTCCTGGTTTCACTGGGTCGGTTCCTCCTGGTACCCAGTGGAGGCTCCAGCGGCCGGTCTACGGTCTCCGCCAGGCACCACGTGAGTGGCACGACACACTGAGGACGACACTTGCGGCTCTAGGGTTCGCTCCCTCTACTGCTGACCCGTCACTGTTTCTACGCACAGACACCTCGCTGCCGCCGTTCTACATCCTCGTGTACGTCGACGACCTGGTCTTTGCCACTGTTGACACCGCGGCACTCGCCCACGTGAAGTCGGAGCTGCAGAGGAGACACACGTGCACAGACCTGGGGGAACTGACGAGCTATCTTGGCTTGCGGATCACCCGGGACAGAGCACGGCGCACCATCACCTTGACTCAGTCACACATGGTGCAGTAGATCCTTCAGCGCTTCCGCTTCACGTACTCCTTGCCTCAGTCCACTCCTCTGCCTACCGGTCACTCGCTCTCAGCTCTGCCTTCGGATGAGTCCGTAGAGCCGAGTGGCCCGTATCCAGAGCTTGTGGGCTGCCTCATGTACCTGATGACCTGCACTCGACCTGACCTTGCATACCCTCTTAGCATCCTTGCACGCTATGTCGCTCCTGGCCGTCACAGGAAGGAGCACATGGATGCCGCTAAGAGGGTGTTGCGCTACTTGTGCAGTACGTCGGGCATGGGGCTAGTGCTTGGAGGGCGAGACCGAGTTGTACTTACTGGACACTCAGACGCTTCTTGGGCGGACGACCAGGCTACTCAGCGGTCGTCTCAGGGTTACACCTTCAGCCTTGGCTCCGGCTCAGTTTCTTGGCGTTCTACACGCTCTTCTTCTGTTCTCAGCTCCAGTTGTGAGGCTGAGATCTACGCCACAGCCATGGCTGCCCAGGAGCTACGCTGGCTGACCTACCTGCTGACCGACTTGGGTGAGCGGCCTCGTTCTCCTCCAGTGCTGTACGTCGACAACCAGGCTGCCATTGCCTTGTGTGAGGAGCACAGACTGGAGCACAGAACGAAGCACATCGCCCTGCGGTACTTCCTTGCTCGAAAGCTGCAGCAACGCAGTCAGCTTTGTCTGCGTTACGTGGCCACTGAGGCCAACCTTGCTGATGTGTTCACCAAGGCGCTTCCGCCTTGTGACCATCAGCGCTTCTGCACTCTGCTAGGCCTTGTGCCTACTGGACCTCATTTGCTTACTTCTTGACCCTGCTTGTACTGTGATCACTATATATATATATATATACCTGCATGTTCACTCTTGCTAGGTTGTGATCACTGTATCTCTTGCTCTATTATAAACCTGCATGTGGACTGGTCTTGTGACCGCTTGCTTGTGCTCGGAATTTGTGTGGAATCCTTGAGATCCACCCTGAGCTTGCCTTCCTTTGCTTTGACTGGTCTCGTGACCCTGTGGTTGTCTCCCACTGCGCCTATGGGGGTGTGTCAAACATTATATGTTTATATGATTGTAGGCTGTAGTGGGTTACACCTTAGGGGGTACACTAGATTAGGGTTTCCTACTTGTATCCAACTTTGTGCTAGTACAGTCATTCCTCGTTCAGTTCTTCTGACAGACACACAAAAACGCACAGTGCGACACAAAACTCGTCGCAAGGGCATGACGCAACAGCCACAACGATCGCAACCCTAAACACACCACACCCCCCTGACCATCTGCAAAACATGCAAATTTATACGTGTGACTTTCCCCGACGTCAGTCAGGCAGGCACGCAACTAGAGCGAGGGCAAGCTAGCAAGCAGTGTACGCCGCGTCCCTTAGCACACATCGCCTACCACGCACACCACGCTCGCACTTGTCTGAACATAGGGGATCCGACGCCACCCTTCGTGGGAAGCGACAATCACCGCGCCGTAAAAAAAAAAAAAAAAACGCATCAAGAGAGTCGGCAACGACGTGATGGGAGTGGTGGGACTGGGACATGCAGATGTTTCGTGAGGGGAGCATCAAGGAATGGAATGGCGTGGGAAGTAAGTGTGGTGTGAGGAAAGAGTGAGGGAAAGGGACTTGAGGCGCGACGGAAGGGGAGTGAGAGCGTGGGGGAAGGGGACCATGCAGGGGGGGGGGGAAGGGGAGTGGCACATGCGGAAAGAGGAGTGAAACCGTAGTGGAAGGGGTGTAGAACCGTGGGGGAGGGGGAGTGTAACAGTGGTGGAAGGGGTGTGGAAGGGTGGGGGAAGGGGGGTGGAAGCGTGGGCGAAGGCGAGCAGAAGCATTGGGGAAGGGTAGTGGAAGCGTTGCATAGGCGAGTCGATACGTGGGGGAGGGGGTGTGGAGGCGGGGGGATAGGGGAGTATTCCCGTGGGGGAATGGGAGTGAAACTGTTGGCGGAAGGGGGATTGAAGCGTGAGAGAAAGGCTTGTTTGTATGCCTCTTCTATTAATGAAAAATCTGTTTTTAAAACTCGATCATACCCACTTGAAAACATTTCAATCGAATCTTTGAGAGATAAATTTTCAATCATCTCTTGCTCGTTCAACGAGTTGCCAGCAATCATGGATATTGTGGACCGTTGTGCCCAAGAGCACCCGCTCACATCAGTGGGATTGGTGACTCGAATCGTGAAAGGAGAGTTATTCCGCCGATTTCACGAATGGCATACCCTGGCGACATGGGACAAAGGGCACCACGTCTGGTGGACCAGTTCCCAAAGGTTTGGACGTGCTCACAACAAATTTAGGGCGTACTATCGACCCCCTAAACTAGTTGTCGCTTGTCCCATTCGTCCAAGATTCCAACAGAATCTACTGTTATCTGGACGCATGAACGGGGACGAAGCAAGGATTCTCGTCGATACGGGCGCGTCGGTTTCCCTTGTTGATGAAACTTGGGTTGCGACGCACAACGTCCTCGTTGCAGGACCGTCTTGTCCCATTCGCTTGGGTGACGATCGTGTCATTCCAAGTAAAGGACAGTCACATATCGATATGAATGTACAAGATTACAGCGAAACAATTCGCGTGTATGTCCTGCCACTTTTGTCAGGTGTCGACCTCATCCTGGGCATGGATTGGTTGCGAGCCAACGAAGTCATTCTGGACTTCCAGTACAACATTGTCTCGTTCAACAAGAACGGAAAGGCAATCCAGTGGCGAGTCAATGATACTTTGCCCACTGATACACAGACGCCGGAACATCCCAGCGCGCTGTGTGTGTTGGCCAACCAGTTCGGACATTTCGTTAAATCAGCTGATACACTATTCGTGGTACAGCTTGAAAATGTCGAGGCCTCGGAGCCAGCTATCGAGGATTTCCCTCCTCAAATGAAAATACTGGCAGAGGAATTCAAGGAAGTGTTTGAAGCCATCCCTGATGGACTTCCACCTGACCGCGCAGTGGGCCACACCATCCCTGTTGAACCAGGAAAGGTTCCACCCTTTCGACCTCTGTATCGCCTAGGTCCAGCTGAGTACGGGGAGGCTAAACAACAGATCGAGGAATACCTCAGAAAAGGATGGATTGAACCCAGTGCATCCCCTTACGGAGCACCAATTTTGTTCGTTAACAAGAAGGGCGGAGGATTACGCATGTGCGTAGACTATCGTGCCTTGAACAAGATTACGGTGAAGAACCGATACCCTCTACCTCGCATAGAGGATTTGTTTGATCGGCTCCAAGGAGCTCAGTGGTTCAGCGCACTGGACTTAGCTCAAGGCTATCATCAGCTGCGCATCACTGAGGAAGATGTTCCTAAAACGGCTTTTTGAACGCCGTTCAGACATTTTCAGTGGCGTGTGTTAAGTTTTGGCTTGACAAATGCTCCCGCGTCATTCCAGTGAGCGATGAATGACGTGTTTCGGGAGGCAATTGGCCAATTCGTCTTGGTGTACTTGGATGATATCCTTGTTTACTCAAAGACAGAAGAAGAACACACGCAACACCTGAAATGGGTGTTAGGAAAACTGCGAGAACACAAGTTCTACGCTCGGTTGTGGGAGTGTCACTTCTACAAACGCGAGCTGGAATACCTTGGCCACTTGGTAGGCAATGATGGCCTAAAAGTTGATCCAAAGAAAGTGGCGGCAGTCCAACAGTGGCCCGTTCCACAGGACGTGGGACAGGTCAGATCATTTCTTGGACTTGCAAATTATTTTCGCCGTTTCTTGGAGAATTACTCCTCCGTAGTCGCTCCACTGACTGCCCTCACTCGCAAGGGCAATGCTTGGCAGTGGACCGATCAGTGCCAGAAGGCATTTGAGGAGGTGAAAACCATGCTAACCAATGCTCCAGTGCTGGCGTTGCCAGACCCGTCTAAGCCCTACGAGGTAGTAACTGATGCCTCGACAGTAGGGATTGGAGCAGTTCTTTTGCAAGAAGGACGCCCCGTGGCATTTGAGAGTAGAAAGCTTTCCCCGGCTGAGCAGCGCTACACAACTTCCGAACAGGAATTGTTGGCGGTTGTGCATGCGCTACGCACATGGAGATGTTATCTCGAAGGTGTCGACTTCGTGGTCACGACCGATCACTGTCCGAACACCTATTTTGCCACTCAAGCCACACTCACCCGCCGTCAAGCTCGATGGGCTGAACTCCTCAGTGGGTTCACCTATGATATTCGATATCGAGCGGGCTCGACGAACATGGCTGATCCTCTGAGCAGACAGCCGATTGGTGCAGCAACGGGTGTTGAGGATAATGAACACGAAGCAGTGTTTACTGCTTGTTTCAACATCCTCGCTGCTGCTCGAGTGAGCGAGATTGCCTTTGGTGGTTTTCTGAAACGCATCCGCGCAGGGTATAATATTGACCCTTGGTTTCAGAACCCACAGAATACAAACAATCTCTTGTGGGAGCATGAGCTCTGGTGGCACAAGAAAGAAATTGTTGTCCCACATGTGGGAAACCTGCGGAATGATATTCTAGCAGAGGTGCACGCCACTAAGTATGGAGGACACCTGGGTGTCAAGAAAACCAGATGGGCTCTCAGTGATGTATACTGGTGGCCGGGATTGGGCATCGAGGTCCAGCAGTTTGTAACTCGCTGTGACACGTGTGCACGGAACAAGCCAAGCACACAGAAGCCTGGTGGTTTGCTTCAACCACTCGAGATTCCCGATGAACCTTGGGAGAGTGTATCGATGGATTTTATCACCGATCTCCCCAAGACGCGAGATGGTCATACAGCGATACTGGTGTTTGTTGATCGCTTGACCAAGATGGTGCACTTCGTGCCCACGACGACTGACGTGTCTGCGGAGGATACGGCAAAGTTGTTTGTGACGCACGTTTTCCGCTTACACGGTTTGCCTCGTGTGATGGTGTCTGACCGAGACCCGCGCTTCACAAGCCGGTTCTGGCAAGAGGTCATTAAGACACTGGGAACGAAACTCAAGATGTCGTCTGCTTTCCACCCACAAACGGATGGACAGACAGAGCGGACCAACCGCACCCTTGAGCAAATGCTTCGTTCTTTCATAAGCCCAACTCAGGACGATTGGGATGAATTGTTGCCAGTCGTAGAATTCGCTGTGAACAATTCTGTGCATGAAAGCACACATGAGAAACCCTTTGTCCTGAACTGTGGTCAGCACCCCATTACCCCTGCGACGCATGGGATTAAGAACCTCAAAATCCCAGCCGCAAAGGACTTCATTGGAAAACAGCAAGCGGCTTTGAAGTCCGCTCGCCATTGGCTGCAGCTTGCCCAACAGAGGCAAAAGTCCTATGCCGACATGAAACGCCGGGAAGTCGTCTTTGCAGTTGGCGACAAAGTATTATTAAGTACGAAGAACATTCGTCTTAAGATCCCGGGAGCACGAAAGCTCTTCCCTCGTTGGATTGGGCCCTTCGAGGTGATAGCGCGGGTTGGTGAGGTCGCATACAGGCTTAAGTTGCCTGCGACACTGCAGATTCACAACGTCTTCCACGTGTCTCTGTTGAATAAGTATGTTGCTGAAGGCAAGTACTTACCGCCACCAACCATCGTTCTCGAGAAGGAACTCTTTTATGAAGTCGAGCGTGTGCTAACTAGTGCACCGTGATCGACAACGCGGCCGCAAAACAGTTCGTGAGTTCCTAATTCAGTGGAAAGGCTATGGGTTGGAACACAACTCATGGGAGCTTGAAGAACACTTGACCGAAGCAGCGGTTCAAGCGTATATGGAAGACCTGGCTCTACGAGCGGGCCCACAACCAGTGGACGGGGTTGACCCTGGTCGTAATGTGGTGCGCCGTGCTCGAAGCACTCGTCCTCAGGGGCACCCTAGGGCAACGGGGACGTTGCCACCTGGGGGGGAAGGAGTGTAACGCATCGACCCCCCTTCTCACCTTGCTCCCTAGCTAACTAACACTCAAGGCATTCGTCGAGATTTCTCTCGATAGAAATTGTGCTACGAGTGAAGGTTGGATTGGGAAAGAAGGGTTGGGTTGGAGAAGAAGGTTGGTTTGGAAATACCAAACCTCAACCAATAGGATTGGAAAATTCCAACCCATCAAAGTTGAGATTGAAGGTTGGATTAACAATCAATCAGAAACTGCCAAACATTTGTTACAATCTACTCTATCCTAAACACAACCATTGAATGGTTCTAAGTTGGGTTTTCCAACCCAACACAATTGCCACATAGGCTCCAAGCCTAGGAACCCTCCCACCATGGAAGCCATGGTTGGGAGAGTTCCCAAAGGGGTGTATTGAGGGGGTTTGAGCTTGGAAGCTCATTCTCAACCTCCCACTCCAACTAACCAAATGGAAATGGGATTGTTTTGCCTAAGTTATTGAGAGCTCTCTCACACAACTCCCTACACAACTTCTTCAAGTGCTTCCCATCAAAGGCTTCAACAAGACTCACACCTTCAAGGCTATTTGGAGGGGTTAGCTAGAGCTACCATTTTGTACCGGGATTATTATTAAAGCCTTGTAATCTCTACTATAATAGCCTTGGGTGTTACACCCCCTGCATCCCCTCCTTTCCCCTCCTTGCTTCCCCTCTTTTCCCCCCCCTGCTTCCCCTCCTTTTCAACCCTCTTTCCCCTCCTTTCCACCCCTGCTTCCCCTCCTCACCCCCCCTTGCTTCCCCTCCTTTCCCCCTCTGCATTCCCTCCTTTTCCCCCATTGCTTCCCCTCCTTTTCCTTACCCAATCCCCTCCTTTTCCCCACTTGTTTCCCCTCCTTTCCGCGCCTGCATCCCTTCCTTCCCCTCCCTGTTTCTCCTCCTCTTCCCCACTGCATCCTCTCCTTTCCCCCCCTGCATCCCCTCCCTTCCACCCTGCATCCCCCTTTCCCCTCTGCATCTCCTCCTTCCCCCCCCCCCCCCCCCCCCTGCATTTCTTCCTTCCCCTCCTTGTTTCCCCTCCTTTCCCCCCTGTTTCCCCTCTTTTCCCCCCCTGCATCCCCTCCTCTTTCCCCCCCGAATCCCCTCCTCCCCACCCCTGCATTTCCTCCTTCCCTTCCCTGTTTCCCCTCCTTTCCCCCCTGTTTCCCCTCCTTTCCCCATTTGTTTCCCCTCCTTCCCCTCCCTGTTTCCCCCCCTTTCTCCCTAGCCAGCCCCTGTATTCCTTCCCCCCTTTGCATCCCCCAAGTTCCCCCTCTCATTTCCGTCATTTCCCCCTCTGCTCCACCTCATTTCGGCCGCAGATGAGACCTCACTTACACGAGGTGAGTCAGCATTTTTCCGCCCTTCCCTTCCGTAACATTCACCCCCCTGGCAGTCCCTTCCTACCCTGCCATTCCCCCACGGCCCTTCACTCCCTGCTGCGCTCTTTTCTCCAGTCCCATTCCCTCTTTGCCCTGCCTTTCCCCCACTGCCCTTCCCCCCCTCCCTGCCTTGCCCTCCCTTCTCCTTCAGCTTGCCATCAGTTTCCCCCATGCTTGCCCTCCTCTCCCCTTCAGCATGCTATCATTTTCCCTTGAGCTAGCCCTTTGTTTCCCCCCTTGTGGCCTTGTTCCCGCCTTGTCTTGAGGTCATGCCTCCCCACCCTTCCTTCCGATCTATCTGGCCTTCCACGCCATCTCATGTTTCTACCTTTCCTTATCTTCCTTCCCGTCTTCCCTCCCTTTTTTTTCGCCTTCCCTTCCATGCCTTCCCATCTCCCCTCCCTGCCTTCGCATTTCCCCGCTCTTCCTTCCCATCCCCCCTCCCTACCTTTTCATCTCCTTTCCCATGCCAAAACACCTTTCAAGACACTGGCGTAAGCGCTGCCAGTGGTACAGGCACTGGCAGGGCGTGTGGTGCAGCGAGTGCGGGCGGTGGTAGGGCTGCCCACCAGAGACCCGGCTGCTCAGGTGGGTAATACGGTCATTTCCTCCTCCCCAGTAGACGCTGGCGTATGTGCTGCCAGTGATGCAGGCCCTGGCGGGGCACGTGGTGCGACGAGTCAGAGCGGTGGTGGTGTTGCCCACTTGAGACCTGGCTGCTCAGGTGGGTGTTATGGCGCTGCTGTGCTGCGCGCACACAAACCGCTGCCTTGCACTCGCACTCCCTTGCTCCGCTGTGCTGTTGCGAGTGCGTGTACAGTACAGGTGGGCCAGGGTTGCCACGTGCGTCACTACATGACGCCAGTCCGCCCAATTCATCCCCTTATTTCCTGCTTTTCCCTTCCCTGACCTTCCTTCCATGCCCTCCCCATCCCTGCCCCACCCTTCCCTTCCCTTGCATGCCCTCCTCTTCCCCTTCCTTCACTCTTCCCTTCTGTCCTCTAGTTCTTGTGCATGTGGTGCCATCACTTGCTTGTACGGTATTCAGGGGTTGTTTCTCCTCTTCCGCCTCACAGCACCTACCATTGGGCCTTCACACAATCATTTCTGCCTGCTCTGCTAATTGGCAGTGTGGAAACAGGGCAGCAGGGGAAAGCAGAGGCGCAGCTGTGGTGTGTTTCTTTCGTTCTGTCTTGTGTGTATTGTATGCAAGTTGGTAGTTTGTTACTACTAGAGATATTCGACACAAAGCCCACTCTGTGCTGGTTCTACCACCATTTTAGCCGTGCCAATTTTCCTTCCAAATGCATGGACAGCAAAAGTTTTGCATCACATACGGGTAGAAAGAAACATGTTCTCACTCACTAATAGAAGTACCGTACTATTGACACTCTCTCTAGGCTGTGGGCAACAACATTAGCTGCTTTGACTTGAGATGATTGGATGAGGCAAGTTGAAGACTGAACGATCTTTAGAGCAGTCAGTCACTGAGATAGACAGAAAAAGGGAGAGAATCCGAGGGTGTGGGAATGGATGATAAGAAAACAGTAATGATAAGGGATGTTAGGACGAGCAAATTGAGATCACTTCCAGCTTCGGTGATGGGGATGCAGGGAAAGGCAAATGGGGAAACATGCAGGGGAGATGGGAATGCAGGGAAAGGTAAATGGGGAAACATGCAGGGGAGATGGGGATGCAGGGAGGGGAGATGGGGATGCAGGGAGGGGAGATGGGGATGCAGGGAGGGGAGATGGGGATGCAGGGGGGAGGGGGGGCAGAGGAGATGGGATGTATGGGACACAAGGGGGCACGAAGATGGAAATACAAGGTCACATCGAAGATAGGACACGCTGACAGTGGAAAAAGCATGGCAGGAGGAGGAGAAGGGCCGGGGTGGTACGGAGAGGGGAGGGAAGGGCCGAGGGTGAGAATTGCTTTCTTAGAACTCGTACCCTCCAATTAAGAATAAGTATACTTACCAGGTGTGGCGGGAGGACGGCAGCATTGTGAACATGAGAGCAGAAAAACAGAGCAGCAGCGACCCCAGCAGCGCAAGGCGGATCCCCGCCACTCCACGGCACCTCTGCTGCAGAACGCCGTTCGCGTGTTGAAATTGACCTGCTCCGCACTCGTGCGCGCGAACCGACCCTCCTTTCCACACAGACTCGGATCACTGCTGCCCCAGTCAGAGACCTGGCTGGTTAGAGAGAGTAGGCGGGACGGGGAAGGGTGAGGAAGAGCGAAAGGGGGAGGGGCGGAGGGAAGGGAGGGAAGGGAGGAAATGGTGAGAAGGGAGGGAAGGGGGGTAGGGAGAGAAGGGAGGGAAGGGAGAGAAGGGAGGGAAGGGAGAGAAGGGAGGGAAGGGCGAGAAGGGAGGGAAGGGGGGGAAGGGAGGGAAGGGGGGGAAGGGAGGGAAGGGAGGAAATGGTGAGAAGGGAGAGAAGGGAGGAGAGGAGAGAAGGGAGGGAAGGGAGAGAAGGGAGGGAAGGGAGAGAAGGGAGGGAAGGGAGAGAAGGGAGGGAAGGGAGAGAAGGGAGGGAAGGGAGAGAAGGGAGGGAAGGGAGAGAAGGAAGGGGAGGGTGAGAAGGGAGAGAAGGGAGGGAAGGGAGAGAAGGGAGGGAAGGGAGGGAAGGGAGGGTAGGGAGAGAATTGGGGCGTGCAATGGGGAAAATGAGGGTGTGCATGGGGGGAAAGGGCGTGCAAATATGAGGGCGTGCAAGGGAGAAAATGAGGGCGCGCATGGGGGAAAATGAGGGGAGGCGAGAGGAGGCCGCGCGGGGAGGCGAGAGGAGCCCGCGCGGGGAGGCGATAGGAGCGCGCGCGAGGAGGCGAGAGGTTGCCGCGCGGGGAGGCGAGAGGAGCACGCGGGGAGGCGAGAGGAGCACGCGGGGAGGCGAGAGGAGCACGCGCGGAGAGGCGAGAGGAGGCCGCGTGGGGAGGCGATAGGACGCCGCACGGGGAGGCGATAGGAGCGCGCGGGGAGGCGAGAGGAGCACGCGCGGGGAGGCTATAGGAGCGCGCGGGGAGGCGAGAGGAGCACGCGCGGGACAGCGACAGGCGAACGAGAACCGGGAGGCGATAGGAGCGAGCGCGGAACACGCACAAGACTGCGGAAAGGGGACATCGGGCGCCCAGGAAGGGGAGATCGGACAGCGGGAAGGGGAGCGCGGGCGGCGAGCAGTGGAGATGGGGTGGCGGGAAGCGGAGGTCGGGCGGCGGGATGGTGAGAAGCGAGTGGGGCCTTGATTCCCCCTTCTCACCGCGAAATAAGCTAGAGACGCGAAAACGCGTACACCCTCTCGCATACGTCCCACGACTCGGAGAAGCCGCGCGCGGAACGCGACGAGTATGGCATTGTTCCGTCGCGAGGCGAGACCGCGCGTATAGGGATTCGAGAACAAAACTCTGTCCGTTCGAGTGCGCGCGAAGTAGGCTTACGACTTGTTATAGGAAGAGCGCGCCTCTAAAATCGGGTAAGTGGCGAGGCGTGCTCGCGACGTGAGTAGTCTTTCCTAGGCAGCTGAGAGGCAAAACCTCCTTCCCGTCAATCTGTCTCCTTTTGCAAATCCTTAGGATTTGAATATGGCGAGGAGGAGCACTTCTGTAAGGAATTACAATTCCTTACTGTACGCGCATTTTAGCGAGTACAATCCGAACACCACGCGTCAGCCCGGTTCGGCCTACATTTCCGCCCCGAACCACCTCCGAGTCGCCACCGCTCCAATCGCAACACTTTCCGAGCCATCCTAGCCCGAACCCTTCGCCTAGCTAGGATTCTCCTTATAAATTCGCGTCACTTTCATTGTATCGTCATTCAGTAGTCATTCATTCTCGATATTCGTTTTACTGCGCACTCTGCAAGTTCATTCATAACAACTTGTGAGGGGGGTTGGGACGAGCTTGTGGGCTTGTTATTTGATAACCATTTTCAAGTTCCTTAGGATTTTGAAAACCCAACTTTCAAAAGTATACTGTTGCTTTAAAATCAGGCAAGAAGGAGCAACATGAGGAGGGATCCTGCATAAGTTGTCTTGGCAGGTTGCAGATTCGTATGGCATTCCAAAATCCTATGTAATTGCAATCATTCACACCAGAAGGTGATGCATGTATGTAATTATCATGGAATTCTTATCTGTAGTATGGCACTTCGACCTCATCCGACCAATGGAAATCCTGGAAACAATCGAATCATGTGCAATTACATCGATATTAGCACAGTTATATCGGTAGTCGATGGCCAAGTGTTCAATTTTATTCAGAATATCATATATTACTGTTTATGATGACGCCTCATTTCGGCTGGAAATCCAGGTTGGGTTTGAATCTGATGCTCATGGATCATCCCTTAGTTGGAAACTTAGTTAGTATTTTTGTTCGTTGTTTATCTATGCATCTCAAATAAAATCCGTGTAGTTCAGCAGCTAAAATAGTGACCCCCCCCCTTCTAGTTGGGTCCACTTGAAAACACAAGTTTTTTTGGAAGGTTTGGAACGTCGGAAGTGCTCTGCGTTTTTATTTTTCCATTACAGGAGGGTCTCGATGTGAACGGCGAATATTTGGAACTTGTATACAAATCTGATTGGTGGCGACTTCCACCCACATTGGCGTGCGAATTTGGTGCAAGCTTGAATGTGAGTGAATGCATTCACAGGAGTCGTGCTCGTGACTTAGCCTTGAAATCAGCAATGCAAAATCCAGCGCACACACAGGCACAATCCAGCGCTCACAGGCAAAATCCAGCGCACACACATGCCAAATCAGACAAAATCCTGTGCACACACAGCTAAATCAGGCAAGACCCAGTGCACACACAGGCAAAATCGCGCGGAAAACAAAAAAGGAAAAAATAGAATGAAATAGAAAATATGAAGGAGAACGATTGCAATGGGAAGAGATGAATGGCGTGGGGATTGTTGATTGGGCGACAGCAAGAACGAAGAGAAGGGAGTGGGGACAAGGGGGCGACGGGACGGCAGGGGAGAGAGGAGGAACGACGTGATGCAGGGAGCGGGGTCAACAAGGGCGACGGGAGGGGAGGGTGTACATGAATAACGACGGAAGGGCAGCGAAGACACCGAAGGCGACGGGAGGGCAGCGGAGAGAGGAAGGGTGACGGAAGGGGAGAGGAGAACACTAGGAAGGCGGGAAGGTAGGGGAGAACGTGAGCGCGATCGAAAGGGGCGGAAGAAAGTGAAGTGACGATAAGTGGAAAGAGATGTGAGGGCGACGAGAAGGGATGGGACATGGCGTCGGTGAGGGCGAAGGAGAAGGGCAGGGCGACGGGATGGGAGAGGAGATCGCGAGGCGATTGCGGCGATTGGAGGCGAGTGAGAGGGCGACGAGGTGGGTGATGTGAGCGGGGACAAGGAGGGCGACGAGATGGGCGATGTGAAGGGAGATAGGAAGGGCGACGGGAGGGCGATTTGAGGCGCGTGCAGAGGCAACGAGGTGGCCGACGCGAAGGGAGAAAGGGCGATGGGAGCGCAATTTGAGGCGCGCATGAGAGGGAGACGAGGTAATTGACAGGAGGAGAAGAGAATAATGGCGACGGGAGAGCGATTTACAGAGAGCGCGACACAATGAAGAGAATTGAGGTGGCTCGTGAGAGAGAAGAGAGGAAGGGCGACTAAAGACGAGCGCGTCGGCGACGAATTGGGCATTCGGATGGGAGAACGGAAGGGCGACGAGAAGGCGATTTGGGACGAGCGCGAAGGCGACGAATTGGGCACACGGAAGGGAGATAGCAAGGACGACGAGAGGCGATTCGGGGCGAGCGCGAAGGCGACGAATTGGGCACGAGGAAGGGAGAAAGGAAGGGGGACGAGAAGCCGATTCGGGGCGAGCTCGAAGGCAACGAAGTGGGCAATCGGAAGAAATATAGGAAGGGCGACGGGAATGGAGATGAGAATGGTGAGAGGGCGGGCTACGGGAGGCCATTTTTTGGCGAGCGCGATACGACGTGAGGCAGTTGACAGGTAGCGACAGGGAAAGGGAGGGCGAAGCTGAGGTGATGAGTGACGCGGAGAGAGGAGAGCGAAAGGGGCCGACGGTGATGAGAAAGTTGACGAATTACGCGAGACGAGAAACTAGTTACTATGCTCTCAGCTAATCTAGTTACTGTGCTACGTGTAAAGGTAGTAACTATGGGAGCAGAAGACATCTAGTTATGAACCCAGGTCCAGGTCCAGCTTGAGATTGAAGTTGGGCTTGGCGACGGAAACCATCGCCAGGACACGGTCGTGCAGGCGCAGCACGTACAAATGCTGCGACTGAAATGAGTCAGAAATTTCATTTTGGCGGGAGCCAAAAACATCAATTTGGCGAGAGCCAATGACATGAGAGCATTCTGCCTATACGATTCGTTTGGTCAGACTGGTTTCATTCTCGCTTCGCAACACCTTTTTCAAGGTGGGTCGGGGTTCACTATTTTGCATGTCGGTTTTAATCCACTTCCAGGTTGCACCCCCCTGGATCTCACGGCAATTCAAGCAGTTCCCGAAGCTGGGAACGCGATCAATTTTCCCGAGAACCCGTTGGTGATTCACGCAAACCGATTCGTATCCCTATTCAACATTCTGGAAACGTTCGTAACACACCACAGCCCCCCACATCCACTCTGTAGTCAATGTACTCACTCTCCCACTGAATTATGGTTGGAACGCGTCTCACCGAGCTTCTCGACGTTGATTCGCTGAGCATCGCGATTCGCGATGGTGACAGCCCTTTCACATTCACCACGATGCGCCCATACAAATGTTCACGCCTTTTTCCTTACAACACCATTCCCGCATTTCGGAGCTCATTCGCTAGTTTCCAACCTGCATCCTCTCTACCAGCTACTAGTAGTAATCATGGCGCATCTGCTTACTGCTTTCGTTCTCCTGCTTGCCGTCACCGTCACTCTCGCATCAGCTTCTACTGCTGCTGCTCGATCTGACCTGACTGTCGACGGTAAGTCGCAGACCCGTGCGATGATGACTGCCAATCATTTCTGTGCGATGGTAACGTGAATCTCGAGAGGTTGGCTCCATGTTATGGTAATGCGCATACCCGTGCGGTCATGGTAAGTCGCAGACCCGTGCGATGGTGGACGAGCATCTTGAGCAAATGAAACGACAGTGCATCGCACTCGCGTTGTACCTGCACACATCCTTGCTCCCTCACTTGTTTTGAGTCGAATTTTGAGTCTTTTTTTTAGTCGAGTTTTGAGTCTGTTTTCTAGTCGAAGCGCCTGACACTCCCTCGCTCGCTTTGCCTCCCCTCATTCCTTTCCCCCGGTCCCCTCGTCCCCTCCGCGAATCTACGTGTCGGCATGGCGTGGCTGCAGGTGCGTCGGAAGCAGTATTCTCGAAAACTCTCTCCCCACGCTGCATGAAACACAAGGGGGAAGCGCCTGACACTCACTCCCTCTCTTGCCTCCCCTCACCTCTTCCCCCTGCCTCCTCGTCCCCTCCGCGAATCTACGTGTCGGCATGGCGTGGCGGCAGATGCATCGGGAGCGGTAGACACCGCCGGCGGCGTCATCACGGCAGAGAGCGCGCCGAGTTCTGCTCAGCGCAGCGCGGGGGACGACACGCAGAGCCGCCGCACACTCCGGTTTTTTGGGGCTCATAAATACAAGTTTGCGGCTGATGGTAAGAATGATCATGCCAAGCCCACACAAATAGTAACGCCTTTCAATCCCTGCGGTTACTCGCTGTTTCCTTTCTTTCTTTCTTTCTGTCTCTCTTTCTGTCCATTTCTGCTGTTACTGTATACTAGGAGCTGGTCATTCCGTGCTGCCCAGACCTGAATGCTGGGCGTATTGGTCCTTTAAAAGAGTGTTACCAGCTGTAAGGGACTAGTGCGCCTTCCGTTTGGAGTTTGATCGCGGCCGTCCGTTTGCTCTGCCGCCGCTCTTCATGTAACTCAATCTCAAGCGGCCCATACCCCAAATGAGACTTTGGAAATCCACTCAGACTGTCTCTCCTTGCTGTCGCGCCTCTTCATCTCTCCTTGCTGCCGCCCCTCTTCAACACTCCTTGCTGTCGCCCTTTCGCAGGCGTGACTAAGTGCGATGATGTGAAGAGTAAGGATTGCTGGGCAACCCCGACGTCCTTTTTTGGCTTGATCAAAGGCGAAACGCCCACCTTGCAGGAGGCCTTCGAGTGCGAAAAGAAGCGCGCTGAACAGCTCAAGGAGTGCGGCATGTGAGAATGGTGAGCGGGCGACGCATGCTGGCGCGAGGGCGATGCATGTTTGGTGAGAGGAAATGCATGTTTGGTGAGAGGAGATGCATGTTTGGTGAGAGGGCGATGCATGTTTGGTGAGAGGAGATGCATGTTTGGTGAGAGGAAATGCATGTTTGGTGAGAGAAGATGCGTGTTTGGTGAGAGGAGATGCATGTTTGGTGAGAGGAGATGCATGTTTGGTGAGAGGAGATGCATGTTTGGTGAGAGGAGATGCATGTTTGGTGAGAGGAGAAGCATGTTTGGTGAGAGGAGATGCATGTTTGGTGAGAGCCTCACTAGTATGTTCGCGTGTGTCTTCACTTCTCTAGCCCAGTGTTGCCAGCCTCCCCGTGTGCACTGGCTATGGGGCTCAGTCGATGTACGCCGCATAAAACGGTCATACCAGCGGCCCCTTTCGCCGTGGCAGAGACTATGTGGGGCTCACCTCGCCCCCGCGTGCATGTGCTGTGAGGCTCAGCCATCATGCCTATGAGTGCCGCATACCAGCTGTCCCTATGCAGCGCAGGAGAGTCTGTAGAGCCTGTGGGGCCCACCTCGCCCCCATGTGTGCATGTGCTGTGAGGCTCAGCCATCATGACCATGTGCCTTCGTTTCCAGACCGGTCTTACCCGTCTCATACCCCGTGGCTCAACCATCATGACCATTAGTGCCGCATACGAGCTGTCCCTATGCAGCGCGGGAGAGTCTGGAGAGCCTATGTGGGCCCCACCTCACCCGCGTGTGCCTGTGTTGTGAGGCTCAGCCATCATAGTGCCAGCAAGTGCACCGCATGGAAAGGCCATACCTTCTGGGCCTTTGCAGCGCAGAGTCTATGTGGGCCCCACCTCGCCGCCCGCGTGTGCATGTGCTGTAGGACTAACACGTGCCATCTCCCCACCTTGTGCTTCTCTCTGCAGATTCAGCAGCCGCTAAGTGCAATGCGAAGCAACTCCGAGCGTGTAGAGGCGGGTAAATACTCGGAGGCTTCTGCTTGTTGCTACGGATAATAGCTTTATTATAGGGGTATGTACTCTATGTGGGTGATTTTGGGTATGGTACATCCTTATGTAGGTGGGTCTTTTAGTTCCTGTATTTCAATTAGAGCGTATTCCTACGGGGCCACCTCGTATCAAGAATGAAATTGACTCATGTTTACGTTATAAAACACCTTATATCAAGAATGGACCGAACCAGCGCACCAATGAAAATGCTCGCACACCCTCGCGTGAACGTGCTGATTTCCCGGTGCACAGTTCCATCTGACGAGAAGGCGTCAGCCCAGTGTATTCGGCCGACAACCATTCACGCGATGCTGCACACGATGGCAATCGTGCGCCGCACGCGAACGTGAAGAGTGTGCAAAGATTTCGTGCCACTTCCACCAATGGTCGCAATACGCAACATCAGCGTTTGATTTGAGTCGCACATGTGTGTTAGCCGGCAACTTTTCGTGATATGAAGTTTTACCGAGGTTTCCAATTTACAGGCGAGAGGGCCAATCTTGATACGAGGTGGCCTCCGTAGGAATACGCTCTTAGTAACACAATGTATCTGATTGTAACAACTCAAGTTCATCTATCGTGTGATTCCTTGAACACTATGCTATGTGCATCTATTGAGCAGAGAATACATGAATTTTTGTTGGTACATGCCAGCCTGAAGCATCACTCACACGGAGCAGAGATTGTGTGCGTGGGATCCTGCACTCTATGGGATTATAGGGGTGAATGGTGTAAGAGGAAGCCTCTATATTTGTCCATCACACAAATGTAAGTGTAAATTCCGCGTCTATATTTGGCCTCTGCACTGGACAAGCACACATGCGGACCAGTCAGCAGCCGAGAGAAGAAGCTAGAAGGAACATAGGACCGTAGACGAGCGGGAACGGTGTAGACGACGAGCTGTCGGGAGAAGAAGGTAAGCAAAGAGCCTGAGGGGCACCCACAAAGAGCACGATATTGTCAGAATGAAGAATGGATGATGCATTGATGTTGGTTGGGGTACATATAGCTAACCCTAAGTTTTGTACCCCCTAAGACAAACCTCACTATAGGCTACAACATTTGACACACCCCCATAGCCTAAGTGAGGGGTGTCTAGCAGAACCAAACGAGTACGGTCACAAGACCAGTCCAAGAAACGAAGCTCAGGGTGGATCACAACGTCACCACACAGTCTGAGCACAAACAACAGTGGCCACAAGGCCAGTCCAAGAAGTAACAGAGGTATATAGAAAGCAAAGTAAACAGTACACTCAAGTCTAAGCAACACGAGAACCAGTGTCAACAAGGCCTAACTGCACACAGCACCTCTGGTGGTCACAAGGCGGAAGCGCCTTGGTGAAGATGTCTGCAGTGTTGGCCTCGGACTCCACAAACTCAAAGCGAGCCTGTCCACGCCTCTGCAACTCTCGCAGAAGAAAGTACCTGACGTGAATGTGCTTCACTCTG